GAGTGTTAATGGGAAATTCAACTTAGAGAGAGAGAGGTCAAGAAATGCAGAGGGAGAGAGAGAGAGTGTGTGTGTGTGTCAGAGGGATAGTGAGAGTGAGAGAGAGATTCAGACTTTTGAGTTCCCGCTCGTTTGGCGGACTTCTTTGAGATTTAAAAGACGCGCGATCTTCTTGTTTTTCTACTTGAGTGAATGAACGCGTGTTTGTTGTACAAATGGCACGTGTAATAAATGACTTCGAGAAGACGCCTTCGCGTCTGCGATGGTGAGACGGACGGTTACATACAGTGCAATTTTTTTATTTATTTTTAACAATATAGTTGCAGTGCATGCTTCATTCGCAAAAAGGACTTTTTTTTTTCTTTTCTTTTTTTGTCCTTTTTGTTGGATTACTAATTTCTCATATTTGCTTTTTGAGAGTAATTGTTATTTTAGCATGTAGTAGGTTTTTGGAAAATTTATTTCCTTTTGTGTTCGGTACTCTCAATACCAAACTACATTATTGTACTACTTCAATTTAAGTTGAACTCGACATTAAGTTTAAAACAAAAAACGTAACTTTCAGTCTCGCTTTAAACTTAATTGAATTGAAATTTTTAAGTTTAAACCAAAACTTAAAGAAAAAAGTTTATATAAGGTTGACACCTTAAAATGTTGAATTAAGGTGACCTCTAAAATCCTTTGAAAAAGGTTGTTTTGATGTTGAAAAAATATCTAATCGATCATATCGGTATCGAGATGTATAAATATGGAGAACAAATGACATTTGAGGTTCTAAAAATAGTACATCTTGCAACACATTATCTGGATATTCTATTTTCAAGATTTTCATGTGTTTATAGATATGATTGATTAGAACTATTTTCAAAGCTCAAAATTTTAGAATTAGATGTAAGTATTTCGACACCAAAATTGCATCTCCCGACAAATTTTGGATGTGCATCATATAATTAGATTGTATACAAATCGTAATTAAATTTAAAAGTTGTGTTTGACAAAGGGGAGGAGGTGTATACTGTCACCCTCTCACTCGAAAGGGGAGGAGGTGTATACTGTCACCCTCTCACTCGAACTCTTGAATTCATGTCAAATCTTCATGAGTTTCATGTCACTCTCAAATCTTCTTAAGTTTTGTAATAGGAACAAACTTAAAAATCATAATTCTTTATGTCACACGCTTCTGCAATAGATCCAATTCTCTCTTAGGTTGCAACAAGAGAAGACCCGAAACCTAAAAAACTCTCTCTCTCTCTCTCTCTCTCTCTCTCTCTCTCAAAACCTTGAAGGATCAAACTAGCTTTTGCTTGGACCCTTACTCTTACTAACCTTCCAGAAGCTAGTTTGACCTTTGACTGGTGGAACTAGCATTTGATCTGTCTCTCAACCAGAAGCTAGTTCAATCTTTGAACAGTTGAACTAGTTTTAGCTTGTGCCTGAGCTGTTGTCACTTTGTCGAGCTACAGCTTGAACTGAGAAAAATGTAGTTCAATTCTTCAAGTGTTAAACTACTTCTTAAGAGAAAAAAAGGCTAAATTGTAGGTCAATCCTCAAGGCTCGAACTACACTCAAAGGGAAAATGCTAAAACATAGTTCGACAAATGTCGAACTACTTCTTAAAGGCTTAAAGGAGGATTAAAAAAAGAAGCTGAAATGTAGTTCGACTCTTCAATGTTCAAACAAGCTTCAAGTTCAACCTCTATTCTAGCTTTCCTGACAAAAGCTAGTTCAACCCTTAAAGGGAGTATCTGGTATCTCTCCTAGTCAAATCTAAAGCTGGTTCGACCTTCGAGGGCAGAACAAGCAAAAAAAGAAGAAGAAATTAGAGATTTTTTCTTTTTTTAGTGTTGCACAGTTGAGGTTGGTGTTGACCAACCTTAGCATCATACATTGGTTCTCCCAAATCAGCAGCCTCCATCTCTTCAGTCTCATATTATTGTTCAGCTTTAGCAAGATTAGCATGTTGTTGGGCGGGCATTATGTTGCCCTATGACCAATTTTATGCATTGAAAACAACAAACACCCGATTGCTTGTTTGTCTGGGTGAACAATCGAGTATTGTGCATAGGTACAACCATGACCAAACCAGCCATAGCTTGCTCCTTACTCTAGTTAGGAACTCCCTAGGTTGGAGGTCTCACCATCTCGGGTTGTGACATCCCCACACCATGCCGGCAACCAATACCTCTTTTTTGCCTCTCCTCAACTTGAAAGGCAACCTAATATGCCACTTCCACTCAAGGTAGATGTTGCATGGAGAATTTATCTTGGATTTGAAGTTGTAAACAAGATGTATTCATTACCACCTCTAGTCCTCCGTCACAACAATCCCATGTGCAAAGACAAGCAACGAAAGTCCTCAGTATACTCATGTATTGACCTTGTGCGTGCGGAAGCTTTAAACTCGATGTGTTGATTTTTTGGTAAATAAAATATAAAAAATAAAACACGAAACACATACCACAAGAATACAAAGATTTACATGGTTCATCCCTGAAGGGCTACATCCACGGGCTCGACAAACTTAAATGCATTATTCCAATAAAAGTTACATCAAATATTTTAGAGCAAAGAGTTATCTCTCTAAACCTCGACAAAAACCCAAGTCGAGCAAACCCTTTTACACTTGCTCTGCCAAACGGGCTACTATTGATCTCTCACCTCTATTCCATAACTAAACCACTGTGTAAGAAAATAACTTTGAAAGCAACCGCGACTTTCTCTCACTAAAAGGTAAACAACCCAAAATCTCTATAGGAACCGTTTCTCTAAGAGAAACAAATCTCTTAATCTTTAAGAGTCTAAAATAGACACCATCACAATGTTTTTTTCCACATGAAGCTCTCTTCTTTAAGAGGAAATTGCATCTTATGCATAGGAGGCTCTCTCTAGAGGAACTATCATACCCATATAATGACTCAAATTGGGCACACAAATTCTCTGCACTTTCATCCTAAATATATATAAGATTATGAATCCACACTAAATAGGAAACTTCATATGCATTTTACATATATCTCAAAAACTAAAGAGATATATCCAAGAGTCCTAATCTTTTTGGATTTCTATTTCTTTTAGAAAACTTATCAATATGAATATTACATATTAAATAAATACCTCAATCCCACATAATATGGGAATATATCAATCCCGCATAATATGGGATTTTTTAATGTGAGTGATTTTGGATATCACCAAATCCAACACTCGGACCCTGTTGCAATTGATGAAATTGTTGGTACAAGGATTGAGCAAAGTTTGGATAAATAAATTATTAGCACATCTTAGTGTCATCTTTGACCAAGATCGGATGATTTCCCCTCTTGAACTTGATCTCCACCAAATGATGCAAGTCGTCAAAGCTTGATGGCACCAATTTCACTTTTTTGGAATCCAACGAGTCCTTCCATTCAAAGAACCTCTCCACCTTACTCAACCAATCCAAGAACTCCTCCAGTGATAGGATAGCAGTAAATTCAGGTAATTCAACTTTTATACCTGAATTGTCATCATGATGTCGTGTGCATCTACTCCTCAAAGTTTGCCCATTGAATCATCATTCTACTTGCGTCTTTGTCGAGGCCTTTGTGCATCAGGACCGTCACTAGAATGAGACCTGAAATCCAATCCAGAAAATGTCTTATCAGCCTCCTCATCACCTTGCTCACCAAACAAGCCCCCCTGTATGGCATCTATAACCAGGGACCTTTTCTTGTTCATGGCGTATCTCCATGGACTTCGATCTTGCATAAGTAATGCCACCAACTCCATTAGATTATGTTTCAGCCAACCTATTGAGGTCGTGAGCCCCATATCTTTGGTCACATTCTCTACCATTAGCACTCATCACCATTGACAAAGCTCACCAACCTTCAGCTCTGATACCAAATGGTGCAAAACTGAACACCAATCATGAAGGTCCAAGTCTGATAATGCAACAAAGACTTTTCGATCACCGTTAAAAGAAGGAAACATGGTCCCTTCTACCTATGAAGCTAGTGCAGCTCGTAGAGCATATTCCTCCCTGAAATCTCCAATGTAGAAACAGGAAATATAGAGCAAACTAGGATCAATAAGATCAAAATCCTCATCAAAATAGAACCCAAGGACCACCAACCTGGCATGCCGAAATCTCAACTTTGACACCAACCTCACTTGCAGGGGACCAGCGTCCCGAAAAGATTATCATCAAGCAGCCAAAGGTGAACCCAAATTGTAATACAATCAAAAGGCTGGTTGACATTGCAAGGGAAGAGGACATGAGAATGGTTAAGGATTCGAGCATAGAGAAAATATAGTATAGCTAGCTGAAGCAGCTATGGATAGAGTGGGAGGAGTGGAGATGATGGGAGGAGGGCTAAGGAATCATGAAAAGCTTATTTGCTTCATGTAATATGTTGTTCTGTTGTTTTTTTTGAGAAGTAACAAACTTATTTCTTTATGCTTTTGTATTAGTGGAAATCCATAGACCATAACTTTTCTTTTCCATGTTTCCGCTATCTATCTTGCGGGTTTAAGATACATGATTCTGGAGGGAATAATGAAAGCTTATTTGCTTCCTTAATCAATCTGCAGTTTCAAAAACGTCCAATGCACACTTTTTTTGGCATTTTTATCCAAAAATTGTGTCAAAATGGTCGATCTTGTACAATTCTTTGGACAAATGATTGGATGTCTTATGGAGCACTGTCGCAATTTTTGGTTTTCCAAACAAGGAATTCTTATTCATATCAGTTCTGAAAAAACTGGGAAAGAATTCCCATGAGAAGTTTCTATTACCATATGAAAATAGTTAAGACTTACAATATCCTCAAAGACAATGAAACTGAGGTGCATCTGACATACCAAACATCCATCCATACGCACGTGTATGGAAATAATATAGACAGATTATCATCTTGATTGTGAATTTCGGTCTGGGCCGGTATGGGGCTGTTTTCTTCTTTTTCTCAATAATCAAATGAGAAAAAAATCATACTATAATTTACATGAAAGAAAAGAAGGAAGCATAAACTCACACAATCATTAGTATATATCGCGTGCGTGTGTGTTTGTGTGCGCGCACGTGCGTTTGCAGGGCTCATGTTCAGTTTTAAATGCCAAAATCTCCAATCTTTGTATCCCAGTGAACATGAAATAGCAAAAATGCTCATCTCAAAAATAAATTAAACTATGGGACCTCAAATGCCCGTGGTTGACATCTTTCGTAACTGGGATTCAGCTTTCCCTTTCGACATTCTAAAACAAAAGAAAAATATGAGAAGAGCGGAAGAAATGGCAAAAAACTTAACGTAAGTTCTCAATTCTTGTCTCGCAAGATCTAGCCATTCCCCGGAATCCACCAGTACCAAGGCTTTTCTATCTTCCCATTTTGAGTCTTGATCCATGTGGACATTTCTTGGCTCCATCTCTCCTGTCTTAGTCCCTTTTCCCGCAATGATACCCTGTATCCGATGTGGGGTATTCGCAAAAATTGAGATAAATGCTGAGCACCAATCATGAAGAACTTGCTGAAACAAGAGAGAACATTTTAAGAAACTTGTAAAGAAGATCTTGACAAGGGCTTTTAAGAATTCTGTTGGGTATACCCCCAAAATTCCTCAATTACTATAAATATTAAAAAGAGCACCTCAAAAGCGACAAATCGAGCATATAATGGAAAAAGTAAAGGAGCTAGGGGTATACATTATAAGTGAAAGCATCAATGGGGTTGAACATCCTAAAGCAATCTTTGTTCGAGGCATCAAGATCCCCATATATCTGACAGAAAACAAGGGAAATATAATTGTGAACAGTAGAGTGTTGCAGACCACAATAAAAGAGTGTTGAAGTCAACATTGCCACCAACCTCGAAGGTAAATGCCATGGGAACCTTGACTATGTCATACATGTAATCTGTCGCTGTCCCATGAGCTAAGTACCTGAAATCACCAAGTTCACAATATCAGTTTAATTCCAAACATTTTAGAAAAAAGAACTAACATAAAAATAATTTATCAAAAACTCCCCCCCACCCCCCTCACCTCCCCTCCTCCCTGGGCCCCCCCAAAAAAAAAAGAAAAAATGAGAGGTTCCAAACCCCCCTCCCAATGCCCCTAAATAACCATCTACTGTGATTAATCATCAATAAAAGATACCAACCCAACAGAGCCGCCTCCGGATCCAACCATGCACTTGTCATGGCAATGCAAATGGTTCAAGTGTTGCAGCATAGATCGCATTACTTGGGATGCTATCCCTTTGGGAGTCGTGTTTAGGTGATCATATGGCATGAATAAAGCCTGGGGATCAAATTGAACAGATTGTACAAAGAACAAACAGTTTCAGTTTCAAGGGCGAGCACATATATAGGCATTGCAATTCTATATATCCATCGATGCATATATACACACACGCCGGCGCACACTCTAGCATACGCACATAATACAGGTGTGTATAAGTGATGACTTTCAGTTTGTCCAACTAGGAAGAGTAGATGAATTTCCAAGAGGAATAAGTTTGGAAGTTCTGGTTATTATGATAATATTCAAATGAACAGTAATTAATCAGTATGCACTATTCAGCAAATGGGCTAAGCGTGTTGGAAATATGGCTCATCAGGGCCTAAATTACAGTAGTCTCTCATTCAGTGGGAGCGATTGAGAGATTGAAATCTTGACGTCTTGTGAAATGGAGCCCAGATTCTTTTACCCCGAGTACGCATGAGGCATCGAGAGTTCACGTGTTGAGAAAACAATTTCTCAAGGAGGTGTGAGGGTCACCTCCTAGTCAGGATTTTATAGGTTAGCCTCATGTTTAGCTGCAATTGGCCAGGGCTTGGAGAATCCAAATGAGAAAAATAGAACACGAGTACTTATTAAGTATTCGTCTTATATGGAATGGTCAAAACTTATGGGACATAAGTCCGTATCCTGACACGAGACCATTGCATAGCATGTGCATTTTCATTTCGTACGGGAAACCACTCTTCCAAATACATTATACGAGTTTGGAAGAGTCAGTGCACATGTGTTTTGAAAGGACCCCTGTAATTGAGTTAAATCATGTCCCACAGGGGTACACCTGTAATCCATTGAGAGCCGAATGATCGGAAGTTCTAGCTCAACGGCTTTGATATGGCCAATTATGTGTCCCTGCTTTAGACTGTGGAACATAGGTCTATTGAGTCGATCTGATACTCGGCAGAACATCATTCGGGACTAGCCCAATGGAGTACTCCAATACCTATAGTTACTAGCCTGATCTCACTATACCTTTTGTCTGATTTTATAATGATGAGAAAAACCTAATAATTGCTTAAAAATACTTTAAATATTTATTGTGAGTTTTAGAGAATTTTTCGTAATTTTATTTGCTAAAAAAATAAGGGTTTTCATATTATTTGACTCAAATTCCACTTTAATCCTGACCTGGTAGTGCCATGTGGCGTCCGAGTGGCCATAGGGCTGCCACATGGCACCCCACACCTCACTCTAGGATCACCGCTCAGCTGGGCACTGATCCCTAGGCAAGGGACTAGATTGGCATTTGATTGCTTGTTTTGTAAGGGGTTGTGTTATGGTGTCTTGTTATATATTATTATATTTTGTTATATAATGTTATAAATTAAGGCCCCCTTTTTATCACATGTCTTAATTAACTCACACATGGATCATGCATGGCATGTGTGAAGTTTAATTAATTTATTTATTTGATATTAAAGAGAAAAGGTATTTTCAAATTTGAGTTGAAAAATATCTTCACACGCATGAGTGAAGGGGACATTATCTTTAAATTGATTGGTTTGAAATTTTAGATCTATAAAGTGATTGGCTTTGATAAAGAAGAATATCTCCACATGTGTGAGCTTCGGCAATTACTTTTTTGCCCTTTAGCCTTTGTGGTTATCTACTCTAATACATTATTAAAAAAACTAAGGGTATTTTTATAAAGCCATATTGAATACAATTGGAACAAAAACATGGGCCAAGGACAAAATGGTAAAGTGGCATAACTTAGGGTTAGGGTAAATGATAATAGTGTAAAATCTCATCCTTTCATCCTAGTGATTGGATGGGATGGGATGGGTGGCTAGGTACATTAGCCTCTCATGTGCCTTTGAATTAGTGCATCAAGGGTGTTGATTGAATCCAAAGTTACATCCATGTTATAAAAGCACATCATGAGATCTCAAACCTTATTTATCTCAACTCTTGAATTAGTTTGGAAAATTGTTGCTCCCCTCCTTCTTCTAAGGATTTATGAGAAAAAATTGAAGAGAGAGAGCTTTTAGAGTTCCATTAATGGTGATCTTGATGGTGGTCCTCCTTTTTTATGCTTAAGTCCATAGTGTGGATTTATCAAGGTAAACTCCATTGAATTTTCTTTTCTCATAAGATCATATCTTTAGCATCTATAGTTGTTGAAGTTTTGAATTTAGAAAAGTTTCATTGATCTTAGAATCCTCATTTGATCATCTTTTTCATCATGCTTATTCATAGTGTGGTCCTTCATGAGTTATAGCCTATATGCATAAGAATCCATGATCATGCATAGTATCCTTTAATTACTTTGCTTCAAACCCATCAAATAATTTAGTCTCAGAGTATCACTCTATTTTCAGAACTTTTTCATCACGTTTTTACCTATGGGGGTTCATAATCTTTCCATGCAAGACTGTTGTGGTGGACTGAAGGACCACCGTGTGTAGTTTGGCCATAACTCTCTTGTTTTTTATCCGATTCAATTCAAACCTTTTGCATTTTGTTTTGGATGATAATGTCAGTGTGTTGAGATCTTAAGAAGTGATTTTAAGGTGTGTAATTTCTTCCCATTTGATTAGACACTCTTGTGAGATTGAACCACTTTTGTACAATCCGAAGGGACAAAATTAAGTCTTTATAGGGATCGATTGCGTGGCCCCGGCACAAGGGGTTCGAAACATGGCTTCCCTATTTTAATTTAGCATTCTAATTCCCTGTTTAGTTGATTTTATTCTTTAGAATTTTGTTTAGATTAGTTGCATGATATATTTAAGCTTTGGGACAGAGCTTATCTAATTTGTGCTATGAAGTGTAATTCATAAGCTAGTCTTGCTTTATATGTAATTGCCCCATACGGGGTTGTTGGTATTTGAGTTTATTTACAGTGGTTATACAAGGCTAGAAATGGTTGTAATTGTTATGTAAAAGGATTATAACTTTCACTTAGCTTGGTTTTTAGCAAGTGGCTTGTTGAATGTGTCCATTTTGCCTTGTTTTTCGGCTTGAAAATTTGCTCTAGTCTTGGTATACATTTTCAAAGCGTCCTCCTAAAGACATGATTGCGATTGATTGACTGGGACTCGTTATCCAAGTGTCCCATCAGTTTGAAGAGTCAAGAGTGACATAGCAATAGTTTATGCATGGATCGAAGGTAGACTAACAGAAGAACAACGTAAATGGATTTTCTTCCATTGGTTCAAGTGTTTGGGAGTGCTTAAGCAGCAGCATTTTTGCACTTTTGAATCACAAGCTGTACACAATTCAGAAATTCCAATCACAAGGAGCCTGTGCTCTTTTGTTAACCGACAATGAACATCACATTATTTGTTGATTGGATCCCCATTTAACCATATCATGAACATCAATGGAGAACCTTGCTACCGCACTGAAAAACAATTATGTGCATTATACAGCATGGAAGATGACAGAAAACATATGTCACCAAAAAGAAAGAACTATCATATCAATGGTTCATCTTTTAGCTCTCCTTTAACTCTTGCTTCTTTGTTTCGTAGCACATGTTTACAAAATATATTAGCAAAATTTGTCTTTGATGAGTATCTGATTCTCAAAAAGTACCACTGTGATATCAGAGATGAAGAAAAACATGCATCACTGGAAAGAGCCATCATATAAAAGATCATAAACTAAAATACAGATTTGAGATGCGAGTTACCTCCATTCCAGAGTGTACATTAGCCCATATATGGGGCCGAAATGAATGGGAGAGCTTTCGCATTATCTGAGCTTCAGGTTCACTAAAAGGTGCACTCCCAGGGTTTTCTTCATAAGGATCATAATCCTAAAAATTGCCAGAAAGCAACAAAAGAAACCTCAGGAGATGGGCTCGGAACTCAAAAGGTTGAAGAGGTGTGCATCAATAGACTGTAACAGGAGACCATCGTCATATGTGAACCAAATGATTTTTTAAACTAACTTGTGATGGCTTAGTTTCATAAGAACAAATTACAAACATGGAAACACTTGAGCACAATTTCTTGGTGTGGAAGCTGATGAACATTATTTCTTGATATGTTAGGGGAGTTCACATTAATGGAAGCAAGAAAAGAGTTTTCCAGCTCTAGCACTTGTAGATAAGCGAAGTAAAATTGAAATGTTACCCACATAAAACCAGTTATACCTTGACACGCCACCCAAGAGGAGGTGTAGACACCACCAGACATGGGTAGCATTAAAGTTTATTAAAGATACAAAAGGTTCAAGCTTAGGGCTTGAAATTGGGATGCGTTGAGCAAGAAAAACATGGTGTACCACACCACCAACCCTCTCACGTGTTAAAAATAAGAAAGGCTTTTTAAATATGCATTAAAAATATTATTTTATAAATAAATTGTACAGACATGTCTTGCTGTACCGGCTTGTTTGAGAGAAATATTAGAGACTTAAATAGTGTTAGATGCCAACACCTGTGTCGGTGTCCATGTAACACAGCAGAAAACTCAAACAAAACACAATTTTCAGCTCAACATCAGCAGAGTAGAATACAAAACCATGAAGAATCAAACCAAATATCAGATATTGATATGATCATAACGCTTATCGGCTCATAAAAGTTATTTATTGATAAGAAATAACATACCGAATTCTCTGTTTTTTAATGGGCTAGTGAGGAAAAATAATCCCACAAAACAAAAGTATGCTATGCAAACCAAAACTAACCTTCTCTTTCTTACCCCAGTCTACACTCCAATTCCGGTTGATATCAACTCCCCTTCCTGCCAAACAAGCATACTTCAGCTACATTTCTACCAAACCAACAAAAGAATAGGCTTTTCCTACCACCACATTTCATAAAGTGTCATAATATACAATGACCATTCCTCCTTTCACAAAGATCCCCTGCCTCCACAAGTTTACGGCCATTCAAATTCTCCATTGGCACAATCTAGCAATTCAATGAGAAAGCAATTCAATGAGAAACATATTACTTCATATGCATCAGGAGAAATGAATGAAGAAGATTCACAAAGAAATGACAGGAAACTTGATATTTGGTGACAACAATCACATATCCAATAAAAGAGAGAGAGTTTTTGTTACACTATCAATGCTTCCATTTTAGGAAATAGCAACAGATTGAGAAACATATTAAATTTTACATGATCGCCCAGTTGTTGTATCCAACTAACTAACAAGTTGATAAGTAAATTACTCAAAAAAAAAAATAGAAAGAAGAATGCATTTTCTCCAACAACCCACCAAATAAAAATACAAAAGCTTTAGAGCAGGGCTACCTTGATTACAAGCTTCTCTAATGCATGATTCAAAGACGTCGGGTCCACACCGGGCAAAACATACTCTCCACATAAGATGCCCAGCAGCCTCAATGCAACTTCTGAGGTAATCAACTCCCTTCCATGTTGTCCAAAACTCTACCACAAAACATAAATCAATCAATTCATAATATCAGGTTCTAAAAAATTATGTGTATCACCATTTTCTGGAATTATCATAGTCACAGAACTGAAAGAAAAATATTATCACAAAATACTGGGACAAATCATACGAGTAGAACTTGATTTTTCACTTAAGTTATATAGAAATATACATTTTGAAAAGAGACCCCATCGACAATTATACTCCCCATTTAAACCCCAGTCCCTCAAGCAAATATCCAAATATTTCATAGCTTCATTTTAAATTTTAAATAATATTTTCAGGAAGTCTATTAGCTTCCTTCTACTGTTTTCTATTTCCTTTTAACAAGTCAGAAAAAAATCCAATATATTCTGAAAAAAAAGATCAGAAGCTAAGTATTCTATAAATTTATAATTTCATCTAATTTTCAAAATTGATATTTTTCCTCTAAATTACAAAAATTTAAAACATAAATAATGTCGACCTTTTAAATTGTTTATATTCTATTGAGATGTTTCTAAGAATGAACAAAACACCAATTATTTTTCTATATATCGCAATTACACCACTGACTCCTGCAATGTGGTCCATAGTCTATGTAATATGTACTCCAGGGGCAAAATGGTCACAAACTCGGTAGAAAATAGAGGGGAGATGGTAAGCTTCTGCCATTCCGGAAAATGTTCAGGTCTATTTCAGTAATTTCCTACAAAAAAAAAAAATAATAATTATAAATTTACAATTAATTTATAACAATCACTGCTTACAAGAAGAATGCGATATTTGTCCGGATTTTCATGGCCCCCGTGATTGAAAGTAACGATGAGAATCTCTGCAAAATAACTCTTGTTCCTACTCTTCCATGTCTCCATCTTCCCAAAAAATAAATAAAAATAAAAAATTAAAATTCATTTAAAAATGATTTAAACTGAATTAAATCGAGATTCAGTATAATTTGCAATTACTGTTAATCTCTCAGGATGACGGCCCACCAATTCTTTTACTTCCTGAATCAAACCATCCCTGCAATAATTTCCAAAACAATAAGAAACATGAAACCTCTTTGAAAAAAAATATGATTTATGTCAAATTTTATTTATGAATAAAATAAACCTTCAATCCCTGCAAAATTCAGGGGAAAAAAGAGATACCCAAATAAGAAAAAACAGACAACCACCTTAGAGAGTTACGAATTTGTGAAGTTAAAGCTTCATTTCTTGGATTAATCTCGAAAAGACAATAGATAAGTTAAAAAAACAGTCAGAATGGCATAGAAAAGATATTATGGAGATCGGGTTTACCCGGTGTGATAGAGATGGGGATCGATTGAGGCTATGGCGGAGGAATTGCGAGGTGGGCTTCCATTGACTGTGGATATTACTTGCAGAGAGAGTGAGATAAGCATAAATAATGGAGGGAAGAGAGAGGGATAATAGCGGGACACCATGTTGGAGGCGCATCAACGGCGCCGGTGGTTCCGTTAGAGATCCGACGGCTCACAGCGCTGATGTCCGCTCTGCGAGATATGGAAAGTGAGAGAGAAATGGAGGGAGGGAAAAGCCGTTAAATACGTTCCCGTTACAGAGAGAGAAGTCGATATATATGAGAGAGGGAGAGGGAGAGAGAGAGAGAGAGAGGAGAGAGATATGTTATGACAAAACGTGAGAGAGGGAGAGAATATGTTGTGGGCAAAATTAAATCTCACCACCCAAAAATTGGATGGTCTCCATTTAATCTTAGGACATTATTATTTTTAAGTGGGTAGAGCATAAAAAATACTATTTTTTTTTATTAAGGTTAATGAGTTAACCTATGATTTGAAAATATTATATCCCGAAAATTTGGAGTCCTGTAATTAATTCTAGATTAAGTTTTACATGAGGATATAATGGACAAGATGCTCATGCGGGGGTATAATATCTTTTAGGTCTTTTATAACCAAAGTTGGGGGAAATATTGAGTTTGATTACATTAGATAAGATGGAGGAGATTTATTGCCACTTTATTGGGAAATTTGTTATTGAAGAAGAGAATTACATTACCTAAAAATCATTGAGAAAGATGAATATCTTCATTGTTTGAAGAATGAAAAAACAAAGAAAGAGAATACTTGTATTCGGAAGAAAAAGATATCACCGGTAAATGAGGAAGTGTTTTTACCGGTGAGCCACTCGTCGTTCCTCCTATTGCCATGAAAGATTTTGCTGAGCCTACTGAACAGTTTTCTGATGTAGACGGTTTCGATGATAATGATAAGGAGATGGCCCTCCTAATTCATACTTTGGAAGTGTTAAAAGGTTTTGGATGCTATGCAAGTTATTTATGGTGAATCCTTATACAACATCACGGATGCATTGAAACTGAATAATAAGAAAGAAATTGAAAATATGTTGTCTTGTAGCAAGAGGAAGTAGACCATAAATAAATGTTGTGTTCAAAGGGAGCTTGATAATCTATTAAGCAGCATTAACTATGACAGATGAGAGGTAAACTCTAGACTTCGTGCACCCTCTGAGCCGGTGCGTTTTGTGTTTGCTGATCAGTTTAAGATCAACAAACTAGAGATGGCTACTTGAGAGAATGAAAATCTTGTGTTGGAATATCATGGGTCTCAACAACGCTTCACGCAAGAGAGATGTGGTCTCATTTTACAAAAAAAGTAAAGATTGGATCTTTGCTCGAATATTACTTATGCTCGTCTGGTTGGGGTAATAGATCTATGGATTTTTTGGGTGTGGATGCTTCAGGTTCATCAGTTGGCATATGGTTGCTTCGGGACCCATCTTTTTTGGTAGCCTCTCAGCATATTATTACTCAAAGATATATTTCAATTGTCTTTCAATGACCATTGGATGACTTTTCTTGGTGCTTAACAATGATTTATGGTCCTAATAGATCATTTTAAAAAAAATTACAAGTAAAAAAAAAAAAAAACGTTTTTTTGTCCCTTTTTTTTCATTCCTCATAAAAAATGTGTTTTTAACGGAATTATGAAAAAATTGTGATTTTTTGCCAAACTTTCCAAAAAAGCGGCATTTTAGACGTTCTCCAAAAAATCGCTGATTTTTTGAAAAGTTCGGCGATTAGTCGCCGATTTGCTAACTATGGTCTAGAGTACCCTTCCTGCCAAGGCCTCAAATTGACACTAAGAAAAAAGTAAAGAAGAGGGGGAAAAACTGGTCGATATCTAAAAGGTTGGGATTTAAGTATCAATAAGTTAGAAAAAAAACCCGGGCTTAATTGGTTAGCACTTGAGAATTTGCAGTGTTGCATCCTAGGTTCATTTCCTAGTAAGGTAGAGGTCCTCTTCCCACTGGCTCACCCCAAAAAAAAGCCAACAGGTTTTTCATTGTCCCAACTGCATGTGTCCCTCTTGGTCATCAATGGATTTAGGAGCCGAAACCCCTGCAAACTTCTGCAAACACCTCTAACTACTGTATTTGGAGCACCAAAAACCCTTGAAGCTTTTTTCTTCTTCTTCTTCTTTTTTTCTTTTTTATTTATTTATTTTTCTAATATATGATCATAGAGGCTGAGATGATAGATCTATAGAGTTTTGGATCACAAATCCATCCCCAAGATAGATTTTGAAAGGGTGGACGCATGCAATTTGGGATACACCCTAACCTCACCCTTCCAAGTATCAAAAAGGTTAGTACAAGGCATGTGCCTCATGCAAGAGGTAAGAGTCACACCTCGAATCTCACTGGAATTGCGGTTTTGGCATAGAAAAAAGTCATCAAATTGATCATTTTGGAAATGTCAAATTCGTTGCTTTCAAACATGCTTCCTAGCCTCTGTTCTTGCCTCGAGAATTGTAGATTTAAGGATATCAAGTCTAAAAGGCATATATTTTGTAATATATTATTTAGACTATCCATTTTCAAATATTCACAGATCCGTAAATTCTACAAAATTTTTAAAGCTTCAAATTTCATAACATGAACAAAAATAGATTTTTTTGGCCATTGCACATGGTGATTCCATGAGGGTTTTGAAGTGTGGCAAAACTTTTTCTCACAAGGTCAAGACTTCTACTAATTGTATCACTAAGGAAACGGTACATGAGGAGGTGAAGTGGAGGGCACAAGCTAAATAGGTCTGAATTGTACTCGATACAGCTTGAATGTATGGAAATTTATAAACTCACGTCTAAGATTTGAATTATTTAATATCCCGTGTAATTTGATAAATTTTAAAATCTATCAAATGGTAATTAAAATCCATAATGATTGCTATTTCTCGAACTTTGTGACCATCTAAACCATTTGATTCTACATCGGAAGGTTATAAGTGATTGTGATCTCTTTATACCAAACCCTAAAACATATTACGCGTAGTTTTGAAGCGAAGTGACCCCAAGAGCTTAAAGTAAGAAAAAACATGGAGAGATTTTAGGAAATTGCAAGGAAAAATAGTAGAAAGTCACAAAAAAATCACTTTTTTTTTATGACATTTATCATAGGGTGCCGTTTGTATAAAGCCGAGGTCCTAAACAATCAAATTAGAGCTCACCTTCAAATAGTATCGAAAATATGGTTTCAATACTGGAAAGTTTTGTGATAGCCTTAAATTATATTTTCATCTTTAGTAATAAAATTTAAAGCTACAAAAATATTGTAGATAGAGCAAATCTATGAAAACTTGAAAATCTGAAAAATTGACGGCTGAAAAATGCATTACAAGATGCACTATTTATAAAATTCGAAATTCAATTTTTTTCCTCATGTCTATGCATCTTGATGTCGAGATGATCAATTTGATGATATTTGGGCATCAAAACAACCTCTTCTAGTGAAAGTTTTGAGGTAGGCTCTAATTTGATTGTTTAGAGCTTAAGCTCTATATAAAATTTTCCCTTTATCATATTCTTTATTTTAGACCTTATAATAAAATAATTAGAAATTTCAACCATTCTCGAAACTGTTCTAATATATAAATGAGTTTTAAAATTTTAAAGCATGAATATAATTTATTTTAAGCACGATTAATGCCAATTCAAACAAGAGATTCAAAATTTGGGAGAGACAATTTTCATACTTTTAATTACCATTTTTATTTATTTCTAAAAAATCTCCACCATGATAAAATAATTGAATTTTTTAATTATTCTTAAAGGAATAAAATTATATAAAGTAGCAACCTTAAAATGTAGAATTACATATGCACCTCAAAATCCATCGGAAAATGTTGTTTTAATGTTGAAAAACCCTCTAATTGATCATCTCGACATTAAAATGTAGGAATATGAAAAAGAAAAAAAAACAAAAAGATTTCAATTCTCAAAAATAGTACATCTTGCAACGCATTATTTAGACAGACTATTTTAAGATTTTCATATATTGATAGATCTACTTGATTTTAACCTTTTTTGAAGTTTAAAATTTTATGATTAAATGTAAAAGTAGATTTTTAAATAATCCTACGAATTTTTTATTTCAAAATTACATATTACGATAAAATTTGGAGGTGCACCTTAATTGTTGCAACCTTTATAGAAACCACACCCATTCTTAAAAGTTCGCATGTATAACAACTATTTCTAACAAACTTCTAAGATTTTAGCTATAACAACTATTTCTAACAAACTTCTAAGATTTTAGCTCAGGAACATTGTGTGTCAACACACCTCCAATCTGTACTGCCCATTTGGTTGCCCTTATTTTCCTTCGCACCCAAAATTTGATTAGCGTTATATCACTCAAAATAAACTGAACATGCCAAGAAAACTACAAACTAAAAACTAAAAACTAAAAACTAAAAATGACAATGGATGTATGTAATGGTACCTGTTTATATCCTACATGCAAATTAACATGTCCCTAAACCATCCAATGTCAGCGACGAACTGTTGGGAATGCTTCATTCCTTCCCTCGAAATCCGTCAAAATTTCTGAGGGAATTGAAGCAGAAAGACACTCACAACTCTCGGCCGATACCTATCTGCCTAGATGTCCATGCAGCATTTAAGCATGTAAAATACCACATGCTTTCACGAATGAAAACCATCACTTGCACCTAAATACTCCTTGCAAGACTCCCCCCAACGCACTTCCACAGTTACTGAAATTTATAATGCCCCCAAGCTAAAACCATTATCTATGACAGCAATACAATGGGGTAAGTTATGGTGTGTCTCTCGCCAAAAAATAAAAGATGACCAACATAACAATGAGGTTCATTTATCAAATCCAGAAAAGCCCATCACCTGATAAAATCATTACCGTTAGGCCGTGGATTCCCTTGAAATAACTACCATGTCCACCATGCCAAAGCAAATTCCCAATGTAGTCACAATGATTATGAAACCAATGTGCCAAACAAATTACGAAATTTGAAAGGAAAATAAAAATGATTCTCACGAATAATGCACCTGAACTTATACGAAGATTCTTTTCTCCTTTGTCTTTCTTTCTTTATTATAATTTTTTTAAAAAAGAGGAGGCCTACCCAAGAAAAAAAAAACCATCAGAACTTATAAGATAAAAGAGCCAGAAAACTGCATAATTCACCATGTCCTCAATTGTTGACTGCATCTACCAACAATAAATAGAACAGAAATATCAACTGATCCGCATCTTACAAAGCCTCACCTCCATGTTTACAGTCTATATGTACCTATAAACCCCTCTAACCTCTGGTCAATAGCAGAGGAATGGGGTCTCCGTCACAAGATAAACAGTGAGGAATGAAGACCAAAAATATTGGTCCCCGCCTCCTAAATATGAGTTTGTCCAACAACTTTGAGCTTCAATGTGACCGATAAGGAGATCTTAGTCCAAGCTTTACGACAATATCTTGGTCTCCTAAATTGCATTCAATGTGGTATAGCTGTTTGTGCAAATACCCTGCAGCTTTGAGATAAGTGGCCCAAAGCTTCTGGGTCATTAGGTTTTACCTTATCTGAAAATGTTTGAAGTTAGGGCCTCCTTGTAGTGTATCTTGGCGATCCAAATGCCTACAAGTGTTCTCCTTAGCATGTTTGGACATTTTCTTGCTTTCAGCCTGAGCTTCAGAGACCGTCTTTCTTCTGCGCTTATTGTGGCCAGCCAAACGACTGCGGCAGCTCCTTTTGGCCTCATCGAACTGAGAGAGATCATGGAATCTGCATCGACAGGATGGAAGCATTAAAAACGATTACATTTAGAAAAGGGTGTGGTTTGTATAAGGCCGATGCCCTGAACAATCAAAATAAGGCGTACCTCTAAATAGTGTTGTAAGATAATTTTTTAGTAGCAAAATCTTTGTGTTGGCCTGAAAATTTATTTTTATCCCTAATTATAAAATTAAAGATTCAAAAAGAGTGTAGATCGAGCATATCTATAAACACTTGAAAATATCGAAATTGACTGCTCAGATAATGCATTACAAGATGCACTATTTCTCAGACTTGAAAACCCTCTTTTTTTTTACATCTATACATCTCGAGGTCGAGATAATTGATTTGAAGGTTTTTCGACATCGAACCAACCTCTTCTAGTGAATTTTTGAGGTGAGCCTTAATTTGATTGTTTAGCCCCTCAACCTTATATAAACTCAATAAAAATACACAATTGCTGAAAAAATCCAACCAAAAAATGCACCTTGTTATTCTCATTAATATCAGTCATGAGTCTTTGTAATAAGCTGAGTGTTTTGCTATTCTCATTTTAAATAGTCATTATGGGTCTTTACAATAAAAAATGACTTCCTGAAATCTGTTATTTTTAAGGCTGTCATCCAAGGTTGCACACCAGAAGTTGCCTCAAATCTATTCAAAGGGGGTGTCCACATGTCTATGCATTTGTAGAAACATTTTATATTATATAATTATGTAAATCAAATAACTAATCGTTCTTCCTAAGGAGAATACATAGAAGTGTAACTTTTGAAATCCTCTTAATGACTCATTTTGCCTCCAGATTTCCTAAAATCCCTTTCCAAGAATATAATTTTAGAAGCCCTAGATCTATCCTAAGCACATTCAACAAATGCTCTATCTCCAATTCGTGCCAATTCCTAGAGTCTCTTTCGAAAGAGTAGAAAGTAGGACTTCTCAAGTTTTCCTAGCATTTTAAATCTCTTAATTAAATTAGCATTAATTACTTTAGAAATACCCAAATTTATAATTTAAAATCTTAAAAAAAACTTTCTAATAATTGTTGAAAAATCTAATTAAGTTCTTTGCTGCTCATTGACTTGATGCTGTTCTATAATGTGTCTAGCAAAATAAATATAAAATAACTTTGAAACCTGTAAATTTTTTGCACTAATATTTTTTAAGCCTGATGTGTAGTGGGGTTGTTTTATACATGCACAGACAAGCTGAACATGCAATGTTTCCTTTTTTAGTTGATGAGCCTCAGCAAAGCTGATAGAATACCCAAAACCTCAAATTTCCCTTTAAAAGTTGAGCCAAAACACTATCTACCATGTGAATGAATTTTCTAACCAGTAGAGGCATGGAAAAAAAGATCAGTACATACTCTATATGCCCTTCAGAAAAATATGCATAAAATAATGGGTGTAATGAAAACTAGCCATACAAATGATTGCAAGTTCCAATATATTATTCAACAAAATAAAAGCAAAAAGGAACAGAAGGATGCAATGAGAGAAGAATGCCCTCAAGATGATGAGAGTGGTACTAACACTCCCATTAAAGCCAATAAATGATATGTATCGTTCTCAGCATGTTAACTGACAATGGTATCTCGAGTTCCCTAACACATCTATTGCTTTCCTACCTTCAGCCTTGGTGGTGGATTTTGTAGAAACTTTATTCATTGCTTTTCCAAGAAATCAAACTACATAAGACTCATGGATAACAACCACTCAAAGAACCTGTCCAATTCAAACTTTAGAAACTTATGACATAAAAAGATCCTGAAGGATGTAATAATATGCCTTCGTCCTGCACTAGATTTCATATCAAAATTCTATTCACTATTATTAGTACTGAAGAAAATCAGTTGGTTCCACCTCAATGAAGCTGATCCCAATTCAATCAGGCCACAGCTACAAATGGGTGTGGGGGCAGGTATCAAGCCTTCTATCCCATAACAGCCTGGTTTATAGCCTAAGAGGAACTACGTATCATGATCTAGACTTTAAATATGGGAGGCTCCATAAAAGCAGCCACTCGGGGCAATTTTTTTTCTAACCGAAGTCGATCCTTTTCATTGGGTTCGTAGAGCATGAGTTGTCTGAAATGAACTCGAGTTTTCAGTCAATTGGGACCATCAATCAGTAGCTACTCTAACTATAAGGACCATGTGCTTTTAGAATATAACACATTTTGCAGTCAGAAGGAAAAGAAACACTCTTAAATAACACGGGGCATTATATAGAAAAGAGGTAATATTAATTTACATACACATACATCTGATATATATGTCTGTGTTTATGTGTATGGGTGTGTGTGCATGTGTGAGTGTGCATGTGCGCATCTGCTTGTGTGTATGACATCCTACAATGCGCAGACACTTGAAAATGCCAGCCAGATCTGCATCTAACACACTAAAGCATAAGTCAAACCAAGTAAATGAAAGGTTTACGACAGTGCATACTTCAGAACAAAATAGAAGTATAATAGGACATAACAAATATGAACATATTTGGGACCCAGTCTCACCAGGAACCTAGCGAGAATAACACATTGCAATTCAACATTAAGTCTCGCTTGATCTTGATAACATGAGGTAAATGGTATGTCGACTCATGATCAAATTCAATAAGTAGCAAAAGTGTCATAGAAGTGCCTAAAATAACAATAAGAAAAAGGAATGACAAGGTAAGAAAATACTTATAGATCATGTACCTTCCATCTTATAAGTTAACATTTCATCATCAACTCTAATGTACAATTGAGAGATATAAAGATATGTCATTGCTGCTGACCCGCCCGGGATCCAGTCTCACTGGGAACCTAGTGAGAATGACACATTGCTAGTTCAACATTAAGTCTCGCTTGATCTTGAAAAGGATCCACACTATGTTTTGAAACCTAAAGTCCACTCAAGACTTTGTGAGGTAAAGGGTATGTTGACTCATGATCATATTCAATAAGTACCAAAAGTGTCATAAAAGTGCCTAAAATAACAATAAGAAAAAGGAATGACTAAAAGGTAAGAAAATAGTTATGGATCATGCACCTTCCATCTTATAAGTCAAACATTTCATCATCAACTCTAATGTACGATTAAGAGATATAGAAATATCTTGTTAATAGCATAGAAAGATAATAGGAAAGCAAGTACTGATTTGATGGATTCGATTGATATGAACTATGTAGTATTCGATAATCATGAAATAACTTATCAAACATTATTCTCTGCTGCCCGCCTATGTAGAACCATAACTTGAACTTTTAAAATTGGATAAGATAATGAATGGTTAGCCTTCTGCCTCCTGCACCACTGGCATGCATGAGCAACAATGTTATACCAACACTATTATTAGACATCAGTTCTTTCTCCACACTCAGAATTGTTCGAGCTGTATGTGGGGATGGACCTAACCTCCCAATGTTTTACATAAATAGATTAGCCCAAACATGACCATGTCACATTTTTTATCATATTGACTAGTAGTGGGCCCAAATTATTCTAGTTCCTGAATGAATAATCATAATCCCAGCCCACACCAATGGTAGGCCAGGATCTTAATACGACAGCTAAATAGATCAAACACAAACCCCTTGACAGTCAGGCCCTCAAAAAATTCTACCACAAATCTATTGCGTTCATATGGACTATTGGTAAAAAAGAAAAAAAAAGGGCTGAGTCCCGTGACAACAAATAAACTTATAGTAGGAAGATGCCTAACTTTTGCTTGATTGATCCATCCCCTCAAAACCTTGGAGAACAGCCTGTATAACGAGTCGGGTCTGCTGTACTATCCACTATAGGTGAGCTGGGTCCCTTAATCCCAAGGACTGGCAACATATTGCCCCCCTGAACGGTGAGTCGAACCCCCCAATTGGGGCCGCGATGAGGCAGTGAACTCGGCATCCAAGTCACACACTCGCACTTCCTGGTCGAAGTACATCTCGCTAGACCTAAGCAAACAAGGACAAGCGAGACCACTGGGTACCTCTAAACCGCTACTGGATGAGGCCAAGGTTGAGGGTCCTACCTAAGTGTAAGATTTTTGAAATATGGTAAGGTATCAGGGTACACCCACCTTTGGTCCGGACCACTCCTATAAGCAGTTATTGGACCAAAGCATTGTGGGGTGTTCTTAAGGGTTGGGAATATTCAAAGGGTGTGCTCCTGCTGTGGGCCTGCACTCCCAACTGCCCTTCCTCCAGGAACTAGGTGCCTGCTCCGAGAACCTTAAGGCCGAATATAGGGTTTTCAAATACTTATTTACAAAACGTTTTTCACTCGTGCAGCATGTGTGTGAGCAAGCGTGTAGATCAACACAGGTGCACATGCAAGAGTGTGATAACAAGCAGTGGTGCGCAATTAGTGAAGTGATTGCAAGGCACAAACGGTGCCTAAGCGAGAGGCACTCCAAGTCGACAGAGCCGATCGGAGCATGATGGGAAATGTAGAGGCTGGGCGCCTCGGCCGGTCTAGTCAATGAATATAGGGCACGGGCACATTGGCGCCCAGCGATGCATGCCTAATATCGGAAGCCCAATTGAAGGCGCAGTTTTGATGAAGGGTAAGGGACCTTGAAAAGGTAAACGAGTGAATTGGGTGCCGGGTGACTCGCACCTGGCGGATGCGTCCAAAATCCGGTATGGCCCTTCCTGAGACGTGGTTATGGTGAGGGCGTAGGCGCCCTTGATAGAGTAAAAGAAAGGGACAAAAAATGGAAAGAAAGAAAAGAATGAAAACAAGGTTTCAACGAGGAAACCTCAATTACTGGGGAATGCCCGAGGCCGACACTGCTGGAATAGGCATTGGTGAAACTGACACCCTCGCTGAAACCAGAACCCATGATAAACTATAATGGGTCCTGACTTTAATGTCGTTATCAATGGCATCAACGACGCTCACCACTGCGTCCAAAGAACCTCTTGCACTCTCGAGTATTGGAGGCGCAAAGAGCAAAAATAGAGAAGGAAACGAACCAAAAGGAGAGAGGGACGACAAATGCCAATGCAAATGCCAGGTCTGTTGACACAAGTTTCAGTTTCATCACAACCATACCCCCAAGGATGTAGTCCACAGTCAAGGTCTGACGCAGTTGACTCAGGCGTTAACGTGACTCTCACAGCCATTAATGGTGACACCCTTCGAACCCTCAGAACAGAAGACAGAGAGGCCCCTGGAAAAAAGGTCAGGATGCCCAGGGCCTCAAGGGTATGATGGCACTAGCAGCCACGTGGAGGTAGTTACTACCTCCATTACTGAGAACCCCTTGAGCTCTGACCGTCCCGGGAACAGAGGCGCGAAAGGAAAAGCAGAGAGGCAAGAAGTAGGCAGACAGTAGTGGAAACTGCATTACACAGTTTACATTGTCGTTTGTTTGCTCCAGACCCCAAAAAGCAACGAAAAGGCACCCAAAAGGGCTCCGGTTGATGGCTGTCCTTTGCGAGTGAATCCGGAGAGTCGCTTCAACGACTTAGCGTTACGTGAAGCTTGACGAGCCCCTCGGTGGGTGCCAAACTATTTATATGTGAAATTTCGACAAAAATAATATTTCTGCCTAATTTCCCATTTAAACTTGTCGATTCAGAGGTAGAAAATGGGGTTCCATCAAATTATAGACCATAAAAGAAAAATGATCCTACGGTCGCTTCTTTGGTGGTACGTTGGCTGTTCCAATTAAAAATTACCTAAAATCCAAAATAAAATAGAAAACTAGAGAGTTAAGGTAAAATGGGGAACTTTTGGAAACATGAGCAGCAAAATAAGAAGGCTAAATCAATGAGAAAAATTAGAGACAAGGTATGTGGGCCAACTTGGAGTGAAGCCAGATCCACAAGCCCGACACCCAGAGTTGGTGGCTTGGATCAGAGTTTCTCGGTGCGAGGAGACTGTTCATGTTGTTTGTCAGAGGATCGAGTCAGATACGCTCGATTTTGAGTTTTTTGCTCGAGTCAATAGGGTTTTTGAGGCGATATGAATCGCGGTAGCCTAAATGTGCATATAGTAGAAGTTTTGGGGTTTTTAAATGACTAATGGGTTGAGATTGAGCAAAAGAGATATGGGCTCAGTCCGGCAAGATTTCAATTTAGGCCCTAAGCTAGTGAGAGAGATGGTATCAAAGGGTGGAGAGAGTTGGTACGAGGGAGTGATAAGAGTTCATATGAGAGAGGTGATGTATGGGTTTGTGTTAGTTGGGTGTTTGTTGAACATTTCCCTCATACAAACTCTTCTCACTCCCTCTTACCAACTCTCTCCAACCCTTTCATACTATCTCTCTCACTAGCTTAGGGTACTAAACCCTGCACCCTAAACCGCAATCTTGCCGGACTAAGCCCAGATTTCTGTTACTCAATCTCGGCCCATCTTAGTCGCTATAAAACCCCAAAATTTTTACTATATCCACATTTAACCACCCTGATTCATATCGCCTCGAAAACCCTCTCGACTCAAGCAAAGAACTCAAAACCGAGCATATATGGCTCAATACTTCAACACAACAAAAACAACCCCTTACATTGACAAACTTTGATCCAGGCTGCCAACTCCAGGTGCCAGGAATGTGGGTCCGGCTTCGCTCCAAGTAGGCCCACATACCTTATCTCTAATTTTCTTGCATTTTTCTTATTGATTTAGCCTTCGTATTATGCTGCTCTGTTTCCAAAAATTCCCCATTTTTCCTTTAGTTTCTAATTTTCTATTTTATTTTTGGTGTTTAGGCGATTTTTACTTGGCATGGCCAACAGAACACCAAAGAATGCATTTTGACCCAAAGAACCCAAACAAATCCACTTCATAATCTAAGTTCACCATCACAATAGGCATCTAGGAGAAAGACAACTAGTGAACAAGAATGTAAAACACAAACAACTTGGTCAAAGCGATGAGTCCTTCATGGTCAGGGCCAGGCTTGGCCCTTGCAAGGACATTATTTCTCAAATATATCCGCGACCGATTCTAGTGGCTTTTGACGCTTACTTACACAATGTAATCACCCTAAATGCAAGCTTGGTATAAAGTAAAATCTGCAATGCCAATATACAAACAAATTCTCCAAGATAAGCAACCATCAAGCCAAAATCCATCATAGAAGTCTTCCTCAAAATCCGTCTCTGCAAAAAACAACATGTTATAACACCTGCAACACAATGAGATTCTCAAACTGTGCCAAAAATATTGCAAAAAGACCATAGTACCATCCACAAGCATTATAGGAGAAACAATTGTGTGCTCCGAGCCACTTTAAACCCCTCCATCAACTGCAGTCTTGATGCCCCTTATCACCTTGTTAAAAACCTCACAGATAATAGAGAACAAGAAACTTAGAAACATGAAAAATGGATTGTGCTACCCCAAGCCCATTAAACTGCAAAAACAATCCTTAAAGGGATCACTATCTAAGACAAGTGGGGTTTTTCGATCCGCCAAAACTAACGCGCCAATTGCGTATGGTTATGTGCCTTGTCCACATCCATCTTGGGCATAACACTGAACTTTCCTGATCCCTAGCAGTCAACAAGTGCACAAATGGCATCCAATGTCATCCAAGTCCAATACCTTCAATCCTCAAGAAGAGAACTTTTGGAACAACCTTTTCCTCAAGAAGGGAACTTTTACAACAAACTTATATGAACTACTAGAGACCTCAGGTCCCTAAAAAACAAATATTAATATTCCATTGAGCTACCATTCTAAAGATGTTCCCAATTGTCAAATTTGCGGAAACCACACTTATTGCATGAGAGCCCAATTGTCCAGTGCAAGATAGATTGTTAACATGGGATTATCATACTCTAAGGTAAGTATTACTAAAATATAAAAAGAAAAAACCAGGAAATTAATGATAAATCATGAAATCACTGAAATATTACAAAAGAGCAAAATGATAATACTGATGAAAATGTGTGTGTGTGTGTGAGAGAGAGAGAGAGTGTACAACCCCCAAATTCTGTCCATCTTTCCATAAACAATACATAATCTAATACAAGGAATCAATACTGATACCCAATAAATACACCAGCCAAGCACTCTGGTATAAATAATTTAAACTCAAGGACCCAAATGTCTACACCGAATTCTGTAATTAACCAACAAATACAAATCCTACAAACGATCACAATAAAGATAAATAGAAACATGGAAAGGAAACAATGGCCAATGAGCCATGCCAAGAAAAAGGGACCCAATTTCCATTGATCTTCAATATTAAATTAAGCCATTAAAGTGATTCAAACTTCAAACAGATCAATGACAATCAACTAAGCGAAAGAACCAATAATCCAACGTGAGCATAATACACAATCACAATAACAACCATTAAGAAAAATCTTGCTAAAAAAGTAACGAATTACAAAAGAAATAAAAGACTACCACATTTCAGCCACAAATAAAAAGGGGAGAGAGAAAAGCCAAGTTATAGAGAGAAATCAACCAACATAAGTATCCAATATTCAAAAAAAAGTGAGAGAACAGTTAACAATATTGTCAGCTCAATCCTTCTATTTGACCAAGAACAGTAAGAAAAATTAGTAAAGCATAATAAAAAAAGAGGATGCACACTAAGCAAAGGCAGTCTTTACAAAGAGAAAGAGATTCATTTGTGGCAGCAGCAAACAGGCAACCAAACGAGAGAGGGAGACCCGTTTGAAGTAGCATAAAATAGCAAAGGCAAAAGCTTTAAAGGAAAAGACAGTCTTTTGCAGCATCAACAAAGGCAAACACAACCTTTAATGAGAGAAAGAGAGCGAGAGAGAGAAAACTAGAGAGAGAAGATACCTGCTACATTGCTGGCAAAACCTCTGGTTGATCCCACAAACCAAGACCACCGATGCCTTAGCGTGAGCCTCACAAACCTTATGGCGCCTGTGGTACCTCTTAGCCATCCTCAGATCCACTTCACACTTATCAGCTTGGCAACACGGGACCTGCAAATTCATCCCCCTTCTCACTCCTCCTCCAACCCCAGTAGCTGCTCTCTTCTTTCTCTCTTCTTCCTCATCCTCTTCTCTCTCTACCCTCTCTCCCTCTTCCTCTTCCTCCTCCTCTTCCTCCTCTTGCCTCTGCTTCACCTCCTTCCTTCTCTCCCCATCTCTAAGCGATCTCTTAACCATAGCTTCAAGCCTCAAACTATGGATCTTGGAGGAAAGAGACGGTACGGGAGAGCGGACCCGAAATTAGGGCTAGAGTTAAGGCCTTCCATGAGGAGACCAGTCATTGAAGTGGTAGTAGAGCAAACATCGCAGTCTCAGTCGTACGAATTAAAATTAGGGTTTTCCTCCCCTCTGTGAGTGTGAGGAAGGGAATAAAAGGGGAATTATAGTGGCAGGCCCACCACACCACGAAGAGGATACACACAGTAGAGAGAGAGAGAAACACTATTTATGCGTGCTGTCCTTTCAGAAACTGGCCCTTTTTCTCGTGTGTAGCAGTCGCTCCCATTACCATCGCCATTGCAGTACTCTCTCTCTCTCTCTTTTTCTCTGTAGAAAATGAGTGGAGTCCAGTGCAGGAGTAAAAAATTAGTATGGTGTCCAATTAGAAGTGCCCTAATTCTACTCTCACCAGTCATAAGTCAAATGCCTCTCGGAAAGCCCGTTGTTCACTACTTACCAGTCCGTCTTGTTTCTCTCTCTAACTCCTCGGCTCTTCCCACCTGTTTCCTGTTATCTGTACCAGGACCCGCTTTTCCGCATACGTAGAAATACAGGCCTATTAAAAAATTTATTTTTGAAGTGGATTTTTGGACTTAATTTTTTAAAGACACGTAATCTCTAATACGGAGATCACGAATATGAAAAATTAAATAAATTTTAAAAATTTAATAATAATAATTCTAATAAGAAAATGTTTGGACGGTTAGTTTCCATTGTTTTTATATCCATCTTAAGTTGAATGCTTTACATGTTTTGGACCGCATATGTAGTCATGCGGTCCAACCCGCATGAAACAATTTTCCTTTGTAAAATAAGTGAGATTTAAGGTGCCGCCTTATATTATACAAGTAAGGCGAATATGGGGATGTGGTTCTGATATTGAAAATCTCACCATGATTTAAAAATCTATATTCAATCTTAATTATGAAATTTAAACTTTAAAAACTAGTACCGATCAACCAGATCTGTAAATATTTAAAAAATATTAAAAATAGACGGTTTGGATAATTTGTTACAATATATATTATTTTTAAAACTTGAAATTCTGTTTTTTCCTAATATCCGTACTATCTCAAGATCTAGATTATTAATTGGAAAGCTTTCTAACTTCAAGACATTCTTTTCTACTAGATTTTTAAAAGTGTACTTTATTTCTATAGTACAAAGAAATGTATACGATGAAAGTATTTACTTTTAATACAAAAAGATCACAATTATTATCAACCGTTGGAAGTGAAATCGAGTTGTTAAAGATATGCCATTTATTAAACACAAAGTTCAAAATAAAGTTTATCAAATGTTGTGACAGATTTCAATAAATTAAATTGAACATCCCATAGCTAAACTTGATTGTGATTTCTTTATACCAAAATTAAATAATATACTATTTCCTCAATCTCTCCTCTCAATCTCAACCATTTTTTTCAGTCCATTTCCCTCTCTACATTCTCCCCTCTCTAAATCTTTCTATCTAGAGTTTTCTTTCTTTAAAAACTCCTCTTTGGTTTCTCTTTAGGTTCTCACTCCTCTAAACTCTTTCCACTCTCTTTCTCCCACTACAAGCCTAACCACTAAAAAATTAGACATAATATCATATCACATCGAATGATGCGGTATAAAAGACCATAACCGAACCCAATTCGCCGGAAAAAAGCTTTTATGATGAAGGTAAAAATTATTCTGATATTTTTCACTCTTTTTTTCTCACTACAAACCTAACCACTAAAAGGTTAGCATTATATCATATCACATTGATTGATGTGGTATAGCGAAATCAAATCAGTGGGAAAAAAGCTTTGATAACGAGGGTGAAGATTATTGTTATATGGAAAATGTGGTGGTGTTATTAAGAGAGCGACGTTACGAGCAATTCGGTCGCGGGAAAGCGGTTGGCGCCTACCGCACTACTCTTCTTCTTTTTGAAATCCTTGTTTTGAATTAACGGTCCAGATTTGAAGAACGATGGCCAACGGGAAATCTTAGCCGTCGACGAAAAGGAATCGTTTTGGTGGTCCCCACTGAAAAAGATCCTGCTGTACCTCGTATGTGCAACATGCGCATTTCGTGAATACTAAAAAGAGAGTCAGGTTTAAAGGAAATCGAATAGAAAAGCAAATATTGCATCCCGTACAATTTCATTTAGTAAGATATGGTAAATAATGTGGGTAAATTTACAGGTCCAATTTATGGGAATTACAAGGAAAGATATGTTGGTTATTGCATGATAAAAATCACAAATAATTATTTTTATTCTATAGATGGCGACACGTTTATCTATCTTTAAAAAGTTTTTTAAAAAGAGAAAACTCTGATAGTGGAAAATTCTCATGTTTCTCATATATTGAGGACAACTTTTCATATATTTTAAGAAGAAAAGCCGAACGTTGGAGAACGGCATCTTCCCATCTTTCAATAAATTAAGATTTTATGGTCATGAAAAACACAAAAAAAACAAGAAACGGTTCTCGGTCGTCTTAAAAAAGCTCTAGCTCTCTGCGATTTACAGTAAAAAAATATTACTTATCAATACCTGAGATTTTTAACAAGTTCATCACCTTCCTTTCGTAACAAATTTAATAAATTTCATAATCCATTTTGGTATGTCATGAATGTGCATATAGAAATTAAACCCAAACATATGCATAAAATGCTACAGTTCAAATGTTCAGTGTAACAACAAAGTTTCCAATTGAAAATGCGAAAAAGATTGTTAAATATCATTAGGGACTCTTCCGTACTCCAGTTGATTATTGGACATTTGATACATGTTTCCTAATCCATGGTCATGTCTTCACTAGTATCGCATGAGGTCACAAATTCTCATGCCCCTGTATTCAAAACTTCGCTTGCAGTTGGGTGATCAGCCGACTTGAAATCGCCTGAATCCACTCAAGATCGAGAGCAAAGTGATTCTCTTTGAGAAATCCTGGAATCGCCCCGTCTCTCTTATGCTTTTGAATTACTTTGGCCGGTTCAGGCCCGATTTTGATTTTTGAAACTGTTGTCAGCCATTACATCTAATTGGCTACTAATATATTGCACACTATAGGTTTTATTGCATCTCTTTGCCACAAAATTTATGTATTCTACACAAATTAGTTTTTTGAGATTAGCCCTCTGAGCACTTTATCGAACGTGTATCATGTTGGTTTTGGTGCTATCCAAAATCATCTACATTAGAAAATCTTATATTATGTAGGATTGAGATATTATCATATTATATGGAATTGATATATTCTCATATTATGTGAGATTCATATATTCCCATATTATGTAAGATTGATATTGATATTGATAAGTTTTCTAAAAGAAATATAAATCCAAAAAGATAAGGATTATTAGATACATCTCTTGGTTTTTTAGATATGTGTAATATTTATAGGAAGTTCTATATATATATATATATATATATATATATATATAAAATGAAAGTGCAGGGAACTTGTGTGCCCTATTTAGGTCACGATATAGGAATGGTAGTTCCTCTAAAAAGAGGGAGGCAGAGCCTCCTGTGCATATGATACAATTTTCTCGTAGCGAATAGAACTTCCTGTGAAGAGAAACATTGTGATGGTGCCTCTTGTAGGCTCCCGAAGATCGTAAGGTTTGTTTATTAAAAAAAAACGATTTTCATAGAGATTTTGGGTGGTTTCCCTTTTAGTGAGTTAAAGTCTTGTTTGCTCTCAAAGTTCTCTTCCAAGACATTAGTCTAGTTATGGAATAGAGATGATATATCAACAGTGGTACCATTTGCGAGAGTAAGTTTAAAAGGATTTTGCCCGACTTAGGTTTTTTGTCAAAATTAGAGAGGTAACTTTATGTTCTAAAATCTTTGATGTAACTTTCATTGGAATAGTGGATTTCAGTTTGTCGTACCCGTGTATATAGCATTTTTGGGGTGAACCACGTAAATATTTGTGCTCTTGTTGTATGCGTTTTATTTTTTATTTCTCGTACTTTATTTGTCAAAAATAAACCCATCGGGTTTAGAGCTTCCGCGTACAATATATCATATACTATTTGTGTGATCTTGCCATTGCCATGAAAAAAATTTAGTGGCTAAAAATTGGAAGGCCTTTATTCAATTTTAGAATGTTATTCCCTTTTAAATGTATTAGGCTAACAAGGGTGAGGACCTTAAAACTTTGTCATTTATTAGGTTATGGAGGTAGCCAACGTAAAATTTTTGGAAGACTAGGTTGCGTTTTAAAAGTTATTCCTTTTTACCTTGGCCAGCATAAAACTTTGCCACACGCTACACTGAGTTATATAAGGTAGGCAACCAAAGTAAAACTTTGCCACATGTTGTCATGAATTTTGAACCTATTAGCATGCCCCAATTAATTGAGATAAGGTTTGGATGATGATGATGATAATTTTCTTAAAGCATGTATAGAATGTGTATATTTTTTATCTCTTTTAGGCTGGTCGCTTGGTTGAGTAAAGTATAACCCTAAAACATGGGATACGAAAAATATTTTTAAGATTTTACTGAAGGAATTGAATGTACAATATGCTTCCATGGGAGAGTATAAACTCATGTGATTGATTGAACTTAGAACGCTGAAGTTATCGATAGCCAGATCTTAGATTTTACAAACTCAATTAATGTTTTTTAAACTAATTACCTGATCATTCTAAATAGGAGCCCAAATATTTTTCGCATGCTAAAAATTTTATGCCTTTTGCCCCAAGAAGTAATTATGAAGTATGCTCCCCTGGGGTACACTATAAGCACTTCATATAGAGCAATTCGTTTCAGTAGTTGTATTAAAATGTATTTAAAAGTTGAACTGTTAAACATTTTACATTTGGTATAGTTTGATAAATTTTAAAACCCATTTTGATTTTTTATTTGATGGGTTATTGGAAATTTGATACAGAACGATGAGATATTTGAAATTCGATAAAAAATAGTCATGTGTAATTTGATAAATTATTCTTACAAGGATTGTTTGAAGGCTCAAGAAAATGCTTCAATATCTCACATCATAGTTCAATTGGGGAATGTCCATTTGTTGGACGACCAAATCTCTAAAGTCTCCACTACTTAATTTTTAAAATTGTTTGTGAGAAGAATCAAATAGGAATTAAAAAAATTCAGGTAAAATAAATCCACCAAAAGTCACTAAAAAAAAACCCCAAGTATGTTACTCTTTTTCTTTTTCCTACCATAGTACAAGGGTACAACTGGATTATACTAATAGAGCCATTTATATTTGGAAAAAATTCATAGAAAATTGCGATCTTATTTGTATGAGTAAGTTTGTAGTAATATATACTATTCATTTTAACGGGATGGTGTAGATTTGAATGTCTTAAAAAATTCTAAATTTGATACTATTTTGAAATATGTATGAAATCTACAATTTCCAACTAAAACAGACTATGTTGGATACCACAACCTCA